CAGGGTCAGAGGTCAAATCCAGGACTCTGCATTTAGCCACACATGAGGTCACCTGTTGAACCTGTGAGCTAAACTGGTGCCTGGATTCAGTCGTTTAGGAGAATTTACACACAGCACACAGTCACTAAGCTTCATTTGAGGTTTACTGACCCAGAGCTTTTTCAAACACCTTCTCAGCATCTTCAGCGAGCTCACTGAGGATAACATTCAGAACTTTATACGTTGTGATGAAAGAGAGAACCATGGCTGCTGGGATTCCAACAATGGGAATAAATCTGGATGCTACCTCTGCTGCCATTAATGTAGCTGTGCGTTCCACTTGGGTCATGACCTTCAGGAGGAGCTCTGTAGTTATTTCTACTGCAGCCAGTGGTGAAATGATGACAGCCTGCAGATCAGCGTAGGGCACACCTGTTCTGTCAGAAAGTCTCTTCAGAGACGGGATATCGAGACCAAACGCAAAAACATAATGTGTGACAGCACCAACCAGAACAGCAGCATCAACAGCAATAGAAAGACCAGGAAGTGGAACAGCTGCTACAGCTGCAGACAGAGTGGTCAACCAATATAATCGGCGCTTAAAAGCTTCTTTCTTCTTCCTGATGATCTCTGGGTTGATGTTGGGCATGACGAACAGCAGAGCATCTCTCTTGTTTTTAGGAAGGTCTTTGTCTAAGGTCTGATGTAAGAGATTGAAGTCGTACAGGTGGAGCTCAAAGCTGGACACCAGGAACACCTGCGGAGACTCGAAGCCTAATCCTCCGAGTCCTGTTTCACAGAAGGGACGTCTTAACATGATTACACACATAAAAACAAATAATGTAAAGCTAAGGCCTGAATATTAAAGTGAATCCATAAAGTGCTCCCACTGAGCTGTAAGTGATCAGACACTCACTCTGAACGCAGTCGTCTCTGATCTTTGTAAGAGTCCTCTCTTCACTAAAGTGTCTGTTTCTTCTCTCAGCTCGTATATCGTTGTCAACCTTTGAGCGAACAAAGTAGAACTTTTTCTTCATCTTCTGAATCTCCTGAGCCAGTTTCACGTCATTTTCTGTGAAGCGAGTGGTTGAGATGATGATGAAGAAGTCAAACTTCTCAAATCCAACAAGCTTCAGGTACTTCTTAGCTGGAAACTTGGTGGTGCCGATTCCAGGAAGATCCCACAAGATAACATTGGGATACTTTGGATGGGGGTACGGTGTGGCCTCTGAGGTGGTTTCTGTAACACCAGTAGGAGCAGCTCCCTCCTCATCATCACATAGTCCTCTGAAGGCATTAACAAAGGTGGATTTACCAGCCCCAGACTCTCCTGTGATGGCGATATTTAGTGGAATATTATTTTGTTGTTTTATATTTTCTTCAATCTTTGCAGCTGCTGCAGCAGTGTTGTTCTTCTGCAGGGGTTCTTTAACTCCAGGAATCAATTCCATATATAAGTCATCTGGGTCCTCCATGCCGATCCTTAAAAAAAGGAGAAAAAAATGTGGAAAATGTGACTTTTTTCTTGAACTGCAGAATTTGTACTTAGCTACTTTAATTTGACATTTAATTTTAGTCATTCGTTATGATCGGATTAAACCAAAACCCGAAGATCAATCTTTAAAGTTGATTTTCAGGTGGGATCCCAATTTTTTGGAATATGTCTATTTTAAGTTTTGGGAGGCCACTGGAATAAAAATAAAACTAGTTTAACATGTTGCTCCATGAGAAGCTGTGAGTGTATCATCAGTCATGTAGTGACTGTTCTTGTTTAAATGTGAGGCTTTTAGACATGAAACAGACCATAAACATGGATGTTAGAAGAAAACTAGTAAAGAACATGAATAAGACTGAAGGCGGGTCAGTGCTGATTCATATTAGCTCATAAAGCACAGTTACTGAGACGTCTGTAGATTATTTGATTATTTATTTCAGTGTGCTGTGCAATTTTTTAATTCCATTTAAAGATCGCTCCAACGTAAATTAATGAACGTAAATTAATTGGTCCTTCCTGTAGCTGTGAGTGGTTAAGAAATGGTCTCTGCTCCAAAGACGAGCGTGCACACAGCACTGTAAGCAGGATTCTGCAGAGACTTGAAAAGTTGCTGCTTACACCCTGAGTTACACAATGAGTCTTTCAGATGTCCCACATGGATTGTCCGTGGCACGCGTAGTCCTGCTGGACACCACATGCTCTTATCTTTATTAGCCCTCGACTCAGCTGCAACGTGCTTACAGTTAGTTACGGGTTTAGTTTCCTTTTCATCAGAATTATCTGCTGTCATCCAGACATGAGCTGAACAATCATTTAACCAATTTCCCATCAAACCATAAAGATTGATGGGAAAGTCACACAACCATTGCATGTGTGCTGATAAAATGTTTTTTCCATATTAGGTTTTAGCTTCTCTTGCATGCATAATATGTGGGGGCTGGTCTCTTTGCTGTAATTTTCCATTGCACATAAGCAGGGCCGGCCCGTGGCATAGGCCGTATAGGCAAATGCTAAGGGCGCCGTCCATCAGGGGGCGCCACGCCAGTGCCACAAATGTTGAAAAAAAAAAAAATT